CATACTGACAGGTGTCCCAGTACTTTTCCACCAGCTCTCTGGATAGGGACAGTTTGACATGTATACAGTGAGAATCCTTTTCAAGACCATCTCGCTGCACAGCAAGACCTACAGAGACTATTCCTGGTTTAAACCAAAAATTCTATTGGAATGTATATGATGAAAGATCCTAAAAATGTCTGAAACTTTTGCACTTCAATTTGAAGTTGGGGCTAAATTAGCCATAAGCATAGTCATTGTTTCAACACTTTCATTGTTTTCTCAAGTAGAGACTTATCAGCAGAAGACACCCTGGAAGAAAGAAAAGTGAACTTCAACAAGGTAACCAAGAAGGCAACCAAGTTAGGTGAGCACTCAGACTGCAAAGTCAAGAAACAGTTCATGGAAGAAGCAAGGTTACAATAAAAGCCAAGTTCCTCTTTTTAATTCAGCTGTAACAGGGTCTGAAAACTGGGCAAAGCTTTTGAATATAAATTCTTAAAGAATGTTACAAAAATGCAGCATTGCCAACACTGTTCTATACTGCCAAGCCTGGAGCAGAACAGCTAACCCAGATCCCCTAGCTTCTTGCTGGAACAGATCTGCTACCCTTTCTGCTTTTGGATAGCCCAGGTAACCCCTCCAGAAAGAATTAACTTGGAGCGTTTTTCCTAATTTTTTTAAAGTAAACAGACAGTTACAAATCAATGTTAAACACTGCCAAATTGAAACAACATTCCACTAAAAGACCTTTCACCATCACCAAGATTCATTCCCTGACTAATGAACTGCTGCAAAAATATTTAACCTTTTTTCCTTGAAATTGTACAGTACTGTAATAGAAGCCACACTCATGCACACACATTTGTACAAGCAAACACTTCCTACAGTCACTAACACAGGCGTATTTTTTAATTGCACGGTTCCTTGTTTTCAGCTCTAGTCTCAGATTGCCACGGGTTCTGGGATAAGACTCTCCCTAGATGGAAAAGGCAGCCGGATCCGCCCTCCAGATGAGAGGAGACGCCGAGCTGTTCCCATCCATCGGCAGCGGCGGATTTCCACATATTCTTAAGAGCACCGGCTAACCCAATCCAAATTCTATTCAAGGCTTCAGTGCTTTAAGACTGCCACCTTACGTCACGGGATGGAGTGACACGCTCCTTGACTGCAAGGCTGCACACTCCGGGAGCTTTCCCTTCCCGCTTCGGGTGGTGCAGACGACACGCCCAGCTCACTCAGCTTTGAATTTGCAAGATTTTTAGGGTCCCCGCCCTTTAAACAAACGCAGGATCTCACCACCTGCTTCCCTCTGTGGTGGCCATACAACACGAGAGCCCCCGAGACTGCAACCAAACTTCTGCAGCCAAAGCTAAGAAAGAATCATAGAATGCTCTGGGTTGGAAGGGACCCTTAAGGTTTTCTAGCCCAAGCCCCAGGATGAAATTACAGGACAAAATTACCACAGTCCTTTAATAACCTGCCTCAGACATCTGCTCTTCCCCAAGCAGCCTGCTCCACCTTGTCATTTAGTGACTGCTGATCCAGTTCTCAACATGTCAGAAGTACAGATACAGATTCTGTCAACTAGGACACTGTTTTCATTAATACTAAACTTAACGGCATGTTAGATACCCCTTTAAAGACACACAGAGCTGCTATTTAACTACTGCATAGAATTGAAGATTTAAAGGCTGTCACTGTTCAAGGAGTAAATTCCACTAAAAGCAAACAAAATTGATCACCCTCCTTACATGAGTCGAGCTACATGTTATTTTTCAGATTTCAGAAGGACAGAGGGGTGTGAAGAGTCTTTGCTTGTCTGCTTTTCTGCCAACCTGCACTTCTTCCAGACCTTCTCATCCCTAGCTCTTACTTGCTGTGTTTATAGCAACAGACACAGCACAGAAGCCATCCTAGCAGCAGCACTTGCCAACCTGCTCATAGTTGGGTGTCAATGACCTAATGTGTTTTTCATTTAGCTCTCCAGGAGACCGAAGAAAGGATGCAGTGAAGAAGTTAATGTAAGGGGTGATCTAGCATAACCACTGCCCTGACTCCACCATGACCAACACCAGAGGTGTCACCACCTCCCACACAAGCCTGAAACTTCCAGACACTAGTGACCATTTGATTTCTTAATGCAGCTCAGCTGGAGCAGTAGATACCACAGCTGTCTCATTCAGCCCACCTTTCATTCCAAGCAACTCCTCCACAATTTTTTTTGCTTTGCAACTGCCAAGTTTTAACCCTCTCATGGCCAAATGAACAGAGGTGTCTCCTTTGTGCTGGCTGGTGCACAGCACAGGTACGAATCAGACAGGCACCTACTGCCATGCAACAAACACACACTAAAGGGCAGCAAAAGGCCAACCAGATGTTTGAGAATTACACTTCAACTGACTTACTACACAGCTCTTCTACCACTGTTAATGTCCAACTTGGAACCTCAGACAGCAAACTTTTAAAAGAGCAAAACTTCTTTGCTGTCTTCTCTGCTATAATCAACTTTATAGATTGTTCCTCCAATCCAAGTTGTGAATGCTACTTATTTTTCCTTTTAGTTGGCAGACTCAAATAGGTGTTTTCCAACCAGTTATCACAAACAAAAGCCCAACATACATACAGTCTGACATACCCCTGATTCATGCATTTGTTGCTGAAATATATGTCATTAATATAATTCTGCTGGGTGTTAGCCAGATCTGCTCTAATATATTGAATATAGAAATGAAGTCCATGGATGCTAGGAATGCAAAAACATTCACCACATGTACCTATCAACACCAAAGCTCAATTTGCTGGTTATTAAAGCTACTTATCAATTGGTTTCTATAGTGTTCAAAGGCACAACATTTACACAATCTTACGGTCACATCCTTGATGTTGTGCACTTCTACAAACATTTCCACACTTATCTGGTAAGGTATTCATTCATGTGACTGACCACTAAACTATGAATTCACAATTCCTCAGCTTGCATTAGGAACATGCATGGAGGCTATAAATTAATTATACAGATACAAAAAAGAGCCTGAAGCAGCTCTCAGAAAAAAAGATTACCAGCACATGAAAGCAACCACAGGTAATTCTGCGACACAAATGTCCCCACCTGTAACTGAGGCTTTGTTTTGTCCATGCCACAACAGAGCCCAGTTTCCTGCCCATTTTACTTGTCCCTCGCACACCAACTCACACAAGTTAAGATCAACACCAAACAGATACTGACTGACAGCTGCTGACTGATACCAGCTCTCAGGAACAAACAATACACAAGAATAGCAAAGGATCTCACCTTCAGTTTTTAAGGAAGCATTGGGATGGTTATACCCACCACACTACAAAGGTCTGTGTGGCTCAATGGATGGAGTGCTGCTGCTACTGTTTTTCCACTGAGACAGTGTTGTTAGAAATGAAATGTAGTGTTGTTTTCGCATCTTAGTGTTAGAAGTATATTGTTGGGGTCTTTTTATATACCCTAGTGTTAGGAATATAATTAAGAGAGAATTGATATATCTGCACATTTCAATGACACCTGGAGTGGTTTACAGTCCAAGGAACTGAGGGACTTAACTGGGCTCCATCTGGGAGATCCGAACATGGAGCAGGATTTATGGCCAAGATAAGACCAAACAAAGCCACTTCTATCTTGCTCCTCGGGGCAGGATGACACCAGTAGGTGCAGATCATTTTGGTGATTGGGAAGACAGCCAAGGGGGCAAGAAAGCTCAGAATTATACCTTAAAAGGTAAAAAGTAACCTGCTAGAATGGAATGTGTATACAGGGGCAGGAAACTTACCAGATAATTAGAAGCGTTGGAGAGGCTGTAAACCCTAACCACCCAGCCAGTGGGGAAACAGGAAACTTGGTGTCCCTGGAATAGGGAATCTAAACAGTTATTCACCTGACTATGGGTGTGCCTACTTGTTCAGGTCACCCATTCCTGCAAGAGTGTAAATAACCAGTGCTCCTTCCTCTAAAGGATCTGTTTGGGCCTCTTCATTGGCACAACAAATGCTTCTCACAGTGTGACTGTTGCCACATCATGGCAATGGATGAAGACAAAACACTTTATCAGACCACCATCCTTTGAAGGCAGCTGGCTATTTTATCTTTCAGTCTACCAACAAGTTACTGGTAAAGCCTAATACCTTCCTGCAGGTACAGTGTTGCTCCCAAACTGCAGCCTTGCTGTAAAAGAACAAGGATGGGAAACTAAATATCCTAGAAGGTGCTCTGAGGCTGGCAGGTGACCCACTGACTGTGGATTCATGCAACAAACCCACATTCACAGCAACTTCAGGACAGAAGTGCCTTTTTCTTGTTCTTACAGGACACTCCGTGTATCACCTGCAGTCCGTCCTCCCCTGGCAGGTTTGTTACAACAAGGCTGGTCTGCTCTTACAGCTCCGGCCTCTGGGATCCTGCAACAGCCTGTTCTGGTCTAGAGTGACTAGGTGTTTGGATTGACCTGGAGTAATTATTGTTCTGTAATCACATTCCAGAACCTTTTATCTGAATAGAAAGCTTTAATAACACAAGAGGCTCAAATCAAACACATGCAGAAAGACTTCCATATTGAAGCAGATCACAGAGCACGTCACGAGGATGCTTTCAAGCCACCACCTTCCATTTCCACCACAAATTACTTTTAACACAGACATTTTTAAACAGAAAGCTCATTGTTTTAACTCAATGGCCTCTTCTCAAACTGCACAGGAAGGGAACACTATCTGACACAGCAGCTGACTGTCCCTTGAAGGGCTGTGTGCATCAGTAGGCTAAAAGATGGAAATACATTAGGTGGGCACAAGACCATCAATGGAAGGAAAAAATACTCACTATTTGAAGTAATATTGCTCTTAAAAATGTAAATCTCTCCACTAAAATTATCCTAGCTCAAACTCTCCTAATACTGCTACGGTTAGAAGCAAAGTACTTAACATCTATTCACATTTAACCCAACTCAGAATTAACCACAGGGAGCTTGTGACCAAAGCACAAAAGCCTTTTTATTTACCTTTTGCTCTCTTCCACTGCTTTGTCCAAATGATGGAAGATATCCTGGAATAAAATGCAGCTGGAGCGACTATTGATGTCATAGCCATAGCCTCTCTTCCAGTATTGCTTCAGGTCATTCAGGTATTCCAGTACCTAGTCAGAATTCCCAAGTTTTTATCATGGCACAGAAGGAAAACAAAAAACCCACAACCTGGAGCCATGATGCTACCACACACTGCAGGAAACCAAGAATTCTTGGACACACAAGGAAAACCAAAACATCTTAGAGGACCTGGAAGGCCTCACTTGCTGTCCTTCAGAATCAAGGCATTTTATCATATGACTATAAGCAAAACAAAGCTGTTCAGAGCATTTCAGGTATTACAGAAGTAAAAGCACTATGCGAGTTAAGCACAATAGGAAAGAAAAAGGCATTTTAACCACGAGAAATCAAAACTGATCCAATATTTAAGTATGAACAAAGCAGTCTTGCTGCTTTGATCAATCCAGAGCTCTTTGGTGAGCAAAGAAATGCTTCACTAGGTTGAAGAATAAGGGGCACATAACTTACAACTTTTGATTGTGCAAGGAATTGTATCTGAAGGCATCTTTTGAAGGGTTCTAAAATCTCTCTCCCATTTAGCACCTACACCTACCTGGGCATCTTCTTCAGAGAAAAGTGAACACCATGGGGAGGTCACATTTTTTATAGCCAACTCATACGAGCAGGTAAGAAAAGCCACTTGAGCAAGATCTGCAATAAATCAAACAAAAAAGCAAAAGATAAAACCACTGCTACACAAGTAGCAACTTTCTCACTGCTTGCCTCTAAAAGGCAACTAAAATTTGGCAATGTAACCCAATAAACAACCAGCAGTTCAAAGGCCAAAACGAAGCTTTCAGCAGATTGATCACTGAGAATCTACGTTTCTGACTGCAGGTTTTTCACATTAAATTGCTAGAAGGGGAAAATTTCACATCAAATGTGTGTCCTCATCACCACAAGGAAGGAATGTCTGTTCAACACAGACCAGTCTTTGACTACCACTACTCAAGCTCCACGTTAGTTGCTGAGTTTGAAGAGAAGTGAGCTGCAACTTCAGGACTGTGGCTTTAGGGACGTGCTGGAAATGACAGCAATGCCTATTTGGGGGGGTTGCTTTCCCCAGCACTTGACCACACAAGGAAACCTGGCACTTCTACTCTGGACAAGGGAAGTTACAACGTGGCCATCCAAGTCCACCTTCTCCTGAGGTTATTTGTGGGTTTAAAATATAACAGGCATTACAAAAGCTACATCTGGTTGACAAAGCAGAATTAAAAGAACAACACACTCACATCCCTCCAAGCAAAGGAAAAGTTGATTTCACCTGTAGAAAAGATATTTTCAAACATCTTTTTCTTCTGACTACTGAGTAACAAGCATTCATTGCTGGAACACCCACACACATTTTCAGCCTTAAGCATTTAATTAGTGACTGTGTCACCGATTTACAGTTTATCTTACATTACCCCCTCTGCACAAGCAGGTGCTGTCTCAGACGTTGTTCTCACCCAGACTTGGAGCTGAAGCCACCTGTAAAAGGCCCCCATTACCTGCGTTCAACTCCTCCACGGGCAGACACAAGGCGCTTGCCACCTTCTCCAAGACCTTCCTCATCTCTGGCCCCTCTTTGAAGGCGTTCACCTGGCACATTGCTGCCTCATTCTCTTCCACCAAGGCCACAAACTTGGCGCAGTGGTCGAAAAACCGCATCAAGGAATCATTAACTTCCACCTCCACCTCTGAAAGCAAACGTGGGCCTCAGGGACGCAGCCAGGGGAAGCACCATCCCCAGGGCGACCAGGGCCCAGCCACGGTCCCAGGGACAGTCCCCTCACCACAGTATTGTCCCTTTAGAGGGGCATGTGGGGTGCAGGGCCCCCCTCAGACGTGGGAGACACGGGACTGGCCCCATAGCTTCCCTCAGCCTGAGGCAGCTCTACCTCAGCCCCTCAGAGAGGGCCAAGGGGTCCCTCAGCCCCTCAGGAAAGAAGAAGAAATCCCTAAGGGAGTAACCAGAGATCCTACAGGGAAGGAATGGGGGATGCCTCAGCCCCCCCAGAAGGCATCCCTCAGGGATTATCAGCACCCCCACAGGGAAGGAAGGCCCACAGAGGTCCCTCAGGAAGGGAGCAGGGATCCGTCAGGGAGTTCCAGAGCTCCCACAGGGAAGGGAGGCCCCTCAGGAAGGGAGCAGGGATCCCTCAGGGAGTTCCAGAGCTCCCACAGGGAAGGGAGGCCCCTCAGGAAGGGAGCAGGGATCCCTCAGGGAGTTCCAGAGCTCCCACAGGGAAGGGAGGCCCCTCAGGAAGGGAGCAGGGATCCCTCAGGGAGTTCCAGAGCTCCCACAGGGAAGGGAGGCCCCTCAGGAAGGGAGCAGGGATCCGTCAGGGAGTTCCAGAGCTCCCACAGGGAAGGGAAGCCCCTCAGGAAGGGAGCAGGGATCC